GTTAGTAGTAGAGAGTTAGTAAGTAGGATATCAGCTGTCTCTTATACACATCTAGATGTGTATAAGAGACAGATTTTGGGGTATTGTCACACCCAAGTTTTGCTCGAACTAATTCTTTACACCCGGCGTCGAAAGTTCTTTTTTTTTTTCCTTTTTTGTTGTTTCTGAAACGTGGAGGGCTCTCTGATGCGCACACAAGATGCTCGGTGTGCAGAATTCATCTGCTACGCACAGGTTGCATGTGTGGTGTGCCCCTAATTACAATCTATGATCTATCCAGATTCCATAACAATAACATGTATATGCCCCCTCGTTGCATCTTCACGCAGAACGTGGCAAGATAAATCTTAGCCAAGGTCAGTAGTGGCAGACGTATCTCGCCAAGTTGTGCGTGGAGATGCACTGGAATTATTCCTTTTTTCGCAACTTCTGTGGCAAGGTCCATAGCCACGTCTCGAGGACAGAGTAACAGACTCGCACAATGTGTATCTATATGTACCAATCAGAAATACTGAGTTCCGCCGATGTCAGCCAGATGGGAAACCCCATCCCAAAATCCAAAAATAAATTCTGCAAAAAAAAAAAGAACTGCTGCATCATTTGCGTGTGCAATTTTTTTAAAAATATATATATAGAAGGTTTTAAAGAATGGTATCTGCATTTGCATGAATTTGCAAAAAAAAGAGTATCCACGACGTCGGGCCTCGCTCCACTACTCACGACATATGCAAAGTGAGAGCGAGTCTTCCACTAGAACATGGAAAAAGATACACCACCATGATTTTTGTCGTTTGTGCACGTCGAGAGTAGTGGAGCGAGACCCATCATGATGAAGATCTTCAGAGAGACACAGTATGACGCAAGCCAAGCACAAACAGGAACCGATGTCGCCGAAAAACAGAGTTCTTACAAACGAAAATTGTGTCACGGGTAGCGGAGTAGCTCGTAGCATCTGCATGTAGGAGTGCTTAACGGATCCGAGCTCACGTTAAGCACTGCACACACTCCGTGAGCAATAGATTTACATAAAAGTACTACTTTTTTTTCGTTCTTTTTTTGCGTCTATACCCAGCCCATGTGTCTGAATGGTGCACCCGTGAACTGTTGATAACCGACCTGAGTTCGAATTCTAGTGGAGTCAGATGAATAAAGTCACTCTGGATTACCTGGGTCTGTTCGGTTCAACGATGATGCCCGAATGTCGGCATTGAAAAAGAAGAAAAAAAGAAAAGTACTTTCTACTGTGCTCTCTCACTTAACTGCATATAGATGCATGGGATGATGTCCGGATGGAAGGTAAGAGGGGTGTGAACTGCAATGAAGTTTCACCAGAAGGTGCAGGGCGACGAAAGGCAGGGAATGTGAAGTTTCCCTGAGATGTTGTCTTCTCTGCTTCTGGAAATGACCCCCCTTCCTTCCCTTTGTGGTGGGTTGTTAGTACTTGTTACACCCATTCCTACCGTTTTTCTCCTTTTTTTTTTTTTTTTTTTTCCCCTACCGTTTCTCATTTTGCTGCTAAATGCTTTTTGAAAACTTTGACACTTTTTTGTGTGATCAATATATAGCTGATTTTTTTTGCATTCCGAGCTCTTGGTGGTGTGAGCTACCGTTGCAAAGTTGAGGTTGCTGGATGCTTGAGAGTTGAAGCGTATATTGCCTTCATCGTTGATTGAAACCGAAACTTTGAGAGCGGTTCTTTTGGAATGTCCGTTCTTCGGATACAATCTTTTCTATTCCTAGGAACAACCTACTCTAATGATTGTTTTCTATTTTTCTGTGATCCTCTACAAGGCCATCATCACGTGAGACTCTTCATTTGAATTCTCATTTGATAACACATCCTTCTGTCTACTTGCCTTGGTCCACGTGGTCGAATTCAATGTTTTTAGCCCGAACTCTCTCTCTCTCTCTCTCTCTCTCTCTCTCTCTCTCTCTCTCTCTCTCTCTCTCTCTCTCTCTCTCTCTCTCTCTCCCCGCAGGACATTTCCTTGTCTTGTTGGTGTGTGCCACATGCACACCCCCTCACTTCCGCAGTTTGCAATGGTGAGGAAGTGCATCGTAACACTGTTGGGTGCAGCAGTGGTTAGTTATGATCCATTCACCTTGTCGCCGTCCAGCATAACGCGCTGCCAACACATTTACATGCCCCAACAACTCAAACCGCTCACAGCACTCAATCAACTCAGACAATTTGTGGTTCACACGCCAAGGAGAACTGGCACAGAGAGTACAATCGCCACCTCTCCTTCTGCTCCCTCTTGCATACGTCCCCAACAGTCTGAAAGGGTACATACTACATAGCTTCACCGAAACACCAAGAACCAACAACTGTGAACTGCCTGGAACAAACAACTTCAAAATCGCTCTCCTCTCTCCATCCATACTAGCTTCCCCAGCATCTCACCACCTGCTGACTTCCACCTGCCCTAGAAGGAGCTTGCATCACTCCCACTAACTCTGCCAAAGTGTGACAGTGCACCTCCCCTTCTGCTCCCCCGTGCATGCCTCCGACTAACTTCATGACTGCATTTGCAGCCAGCGCAAGTTGGAAGAACATACTGCCACCCTTCTCTTAGAGCCTCTTTTTGCTGAGGCAGAAAAGAACTGCGCGCCAAGCTTTGCCACAGTGCCAGCGCATCTTTTTTCCCCTTTTCGATGGTTGGAGGCACCAGCCTTTGTGGTCCGTTAGCACGGGTCATCCGAAGAACCCGGAATGTTAAATTTTCGATTCGCCACATCGCCTGGGAAAGGTATTATTTCGCCTTTTTTTTGGGTGCTTTAGACTTGTTTCCTGTCAAACAGTGGACCAAGATCAGCCCGGCAATCTCGTTGCGGCCTCCGGCAGAGTTTCCGGACCTCTTCCCACCCCACAACGCCCACTGGTGGATCAACAATGGTAGGGCGGTGGAGACTACAGATTAGACGAAGACAGGACACAACCAGGACACAGCTAGGAATATGTCTGTCCATTTGGCGGCCACAGGGGGCTGAAGAGCCTGGACACCCGTGCTGGGGGTTCTGGCAGGGAGCCACCTTGCATAGCCGAAACCAGGTAATGGCCCCGGAAAAAGAGGGAATGGTTGTAAGAGGGGACGCTGGACCCGCTTTCCAGCAGATGCTGCTCCCCACCAATAGATCGGAGCACCAATCGGGAACCTGATAGGGGTGGATGCTCGTACCACCCCCTCTATCAGACCCCGATCGGGTTATCCCCCTCCCCCCCCCCCCCCCAAAAAAAAAAGACATTTCCTGTCCCAGTTCCAGGCTGATGAGAGCCTGACCAGTGACCCCTGCTTCGATATCCATGGGAGGGGACGACCCCTCCTTCGCTACCATGGTCACCACTGTGTCGATATCCATATTGAAGGGGTATCGGCAGTATGGGAGTCGTCATCTGGATCGGACGGGGGGCTCATCCAAATCCGCCTCCACTTTTGCTTGCTCCCCCAACTCCAGCCGGATGTACTCGTTCCCTCCCCACCTCGCTGTTTTGGGCTTTCGCCACCCGGGGGTGGTACGCCCTGACTGAGTAGAAAGAGCCTGAGTTTTATGCTCAGCTTCCTCTTTCAACACCCTTTTAGTGAAGTCTCTCCAGTCATCGATCCCCCTTGTCTGGACTTACCATTTCAGAGATCCACTGAGGGAAGACTCTCAAGAAATATAAGAGCTTGCTGTCTACATGCATGTCGAGGCTCGGGGTTCTCGTTAATTTTTCAGATTTCTAACACCTTTCATCTATCTACAACTCCATCCTTGTATCTCACCTGTTGATGATGTATGTCTGTGATGAGTTTTGACTCTTGAGTCTTGAGTTGATGAGTCAGGTTGCTGTTGTTGTTTTGTCATCACTTGGGGGTGATTCTTGGATCTGCACCATGCCTACATTTGTGCCTCGAACATAACGCACCCTGATAATGAATGTATACAAGCTGTCTTTCCGGTCTAGTGCAGCCATAATGTTGCATACTAGTGAAGCGAACACAAGTATGATGCAGAACCCAGAACCGACCAATAACAAAGAGCAATACAATGCAGCGGAAGACTTGAAAACATGGATCTGACCCACACTTGACTCGGACTATCTGCAGACTCACACACATACATACAACGGGTGGGAAGGCCTGGCGCTCCAAACATGGAAGATGTCGCCAGGGCCTGCACGAACCACACACAGACGGAATGTAGGGGGAAGAGACGAAGGGAGGAGGAGGAGGAGGAGATGGGGCCAACACAAATGTCACTGAAATAGCAATCCCGAAGTGTCGCAAGATATAGAATCTCGAAATGTCACTGATGTCCGATCTATGAATAGTCCTCCCAACATCCTAGTCTGAAGTCTCAGTCCTCATGTCACCGGTAACCCACCGCCGATCTCTGTCCAGATAGTAACCAGAAGGTAGAGGGTCAGAAGAAGATGATGAAGAAGAAGAAGAAGAAGAAGATGAACCGAGAGGGGCAGAGGAGAAGGTGGAGATGGAGAGGTGGGAGGAGGAGGGTCCTCGCTCCCTGATCCAGTGTCCAGGCACCAACCTGCTGGCGCAAGGTGCCGCCTTGGAGCTGCTGAAAACTCGCCCTCGACGCTGGAGCTATGGTGCTCACAGGTAGGTACCAGGTAAGTCGCTACTCTCTCTCTCTCTCTCTCTCTCTCTCTCTCTCTCTCTCTCTCTCTCTCTCTCTCTCTCTCTCTCTCTCTCTCTCTCTCTCTCCTCTNCTCTCTCTCTCTCTCTCTCTCTCTCCTCTGCAGCTAGCGCTACACCTAGCGCTACTGCCTGGAGCTGCGCTAAACCCAAAGTAGCGCAGCGCTGCTGCTCCTGAATGTCGCGGCCTCAAAGTGTGTCGAACAGACCGTTGGCCGGTACTAAGTACTGGCGGTGGCCTTTTCGGCCTGGCTGCTGAGAACCCGCGCCGTGATCTGGACTGTAGATCGATCTGACGGTTCAGATCGGACCCGCCAGGGAAACTGCAGCCTCAAGTTTTGGCCGCCAGGTCCAAAAGAAAAAACGTTTGGACCAGTTTCCCGTTCAGGGCCTGTAGGCGCAGACCCGGGTCTAAACCGGTTGCTGGAGGCCTAAGGTCAGCCGTTCCAAAGGTCCGGCCGTTAGCCCAGGCCGGTCTGGCCCAGCGTGGCCACGGTCGGGGACAACCCCCTAGACCTCCCCCTAGACCTAGCCGTCGGGCCTAACAGGGCCCGTGTGGAATCCAGTATGTAACACATAATCAGGGTGCATAACGCACCCTGATAACGAATGTATACAAGCTGTCTTTCCGGTCTAGTGCAGCCATAATCAGGGGGCATTGTCTTCAGGAGAGATGGTAATTGTTATAGGCATGCGACAGCGGGCCTTCACTTCAGGCCCTGCCGTTGCGTCAGGGAGGTCCTCGTGTGGCCTTGCATGTAAGTTGAGTTCAGGTACCACAAAGGTTCTCCTTTGCACTTACGCAGAAGCATGTGAATTGGGCAGAACTCAATGATTGCAATTGAATAACAATTTGATTGTTAATAATTGATGAATTCATCTGGTGCAAGACAAAGAACATTTCTCATATCATCTGCCTTTGAGAAATCAAGAAGAGAACTACTAGAATGTGTCATGATGCGATATGTATTTCTGCAAACACACTTATTCTAAGGATATTTAATATTATTTATCATCCATGCAAATTTTATTTTTTTTTATGTTTGTATTGCAAGGAAAATGAGCAATAGCGAGATGACAATGTCCAGCATACACAATCACATTGAAGGTCAGATAGTATCACTGTATCCAGAAAGCAGAAATGCACCAATATAACACCAAAAAAGAATTGTAACACTGAAAACCAATGTCAATGAGAGCTGGCTCTCGCCACCACCAACATGAGTGTCCAGGCCCTATCTCCTACTTGGCGCTCGGCACCCAGCCTACTCCCTACACAGCTACAGTCTGCCTACTAATTGACTATGCAACTGTTGACATCAGCAGCCCACGAAGTACTTGAAGATGTCGCTCGTAGCAGATCATCGCCAATACCAGGTATGTGCCCGCACATCATCATCATCATCATCCTTCTCTCTCTCCCTCGTCTTACACCCACGGCTTCCCCCTGTACACCCGAAGACCACCCCTGCGCCTCACTGTAGTCCAACCCCAACCAGCTATGGGGCCTGGGCTATGGCGCTGCTCTCAGCAGCGCCCTGCTCCTTGCACGACCGCACGTGCCAGCACCTCGCCTCTCAGTGCCAGCAGCAGCCCACGAGCGTCCGCTCCAGCAGTGCTGCCGCTAGCATGTGAGTGCCTGAATGAGAGGCCAGGCACCGAGCTCTTCCCTATATGGAATGAGCCGGCCTGCTTTCGCAGCTGGCTGGCCTGGGCCTCGGCCCAGAAGCTTCCGGTAGGACCCAGGATGCTGCGCCTCTGTCGCAGCCACTGGGCCTCATTCGGTTGGGCCTCCCAACTGTCTGTGTATGAGGCTGCGATTCTCGTCCAGGGCCTGCATCATTTTCAAAAGGCATGGTAGGCCGTAGAATGTCTCACTGCTCGGCCTGTGTTTCCCTCAACCAACTGGCATGATGAAACTGCCTAGACCTCCGAATACGAGTTTGACAGCTTAGGGTCTCTTGTGATTTGTTAGGCCCGCCTTCACTTAGGGCGGGCACATATGCAACAGGGGGCCCTTAGGCCTGCCGAGGTCCCAGATGCTCGCAGTATTATGAGCCTGCATTGTTTGTTCATGAGAATTTTCGACGATATTGCTTGTGGTGATGCGGCGAAAACCCCTGAATTTTGGGCCTTCCATTAACCATCTCTCGGTCCTAGAGTCCCAATTGTTCCCTGTCCCAGGTAGATTGGAGTCCTAGGTCTGTAGGGTCCTTAGGGTCTGTTGGTCGAAGCTTCGTAGGCCGGTACAAGTCGGGTATTGAAGCGTTCTAGGCCGGCAGAAGTCGGGTACTGAAACGTCATATAACCAATTCAATTCAATTCGATTCAGTTCACTGGTCTGCACTCTATCCTCTTGTTTGCGCAGGTGATCCTGAGCTCAGCAAGATTTTGCCAAAGCGTCGTATAACCAATTCGATTCGATTTGATTCGATTCCCTTCACTTGTTCACGGGTCTGCGCTCTATCTCTTGTTTGGAAGGTAACGACGCTTTGTGGAGATAACCAATGCAATGCAATCCACTGGTTTGAATTCTGTCTCCTTTCTTTGGGCAGGCCTTATGAGAGGTTAACCAATTTGTGTCGCTGGTTCGAAACCCCTTTGTTTGGGCAGGCGTTACGAGAGTTAACAGGTGCTGCAGAGAAAGATCTCATGGTGGTTGCAGGCAAGAGCAACTTCGCTGCCAAAGAGGCTGAAAGGCAGGCGGCAAGAAAAATTGAGATGCGGAGCCAAGGGAGGAAAAGGGCTGCAATGGAGAAATGGAGGAAATTAGCAGAAGGACGAGAAAAGGCCGGGGAGTATCGCCCAACCAAGGAAGATCCTGACAAAGACTATTGGGAGTTCGCTGCATCCGTAGAAGAGGATTCTGAGGGGGATGATGAGGCCCAGAGTGTGACCAAGTTCGGGGAACCAGCAGCGCATAGCAATGGTTTGTCACAAGTGGGCGGTGAAGATCTGTCTGTGCAGCAGCAGCAGCAGTTTGATGTGGAGATCGCATGTATGACTAGAGAGGAACGAATCCGACAGCTGTCTGCCAGTGCAGAGATTGCAGCGATGTCAGTCGAGGCATCAGAGCCATTGCTTGGTTCAAGGGTTATTCGCGCACGACTCGTGGCCATGGACGTTGTGGCAAACTGCATGCGAGCTCTCGATCACGCCGAGAAAGCATCGACATCGGAGAAGAAGTGTGTTCAGGCGATGAGAACGATTCTGAGGGGTAAGCCGGGCAACGGCGAATGGTCAAGAGGGTTGGCAGAGCTCTCCCAGGACGCAGAACTACCCCCAGCGCTGCCTGAGGCATGCCGGCTCCTTCCCCTGGTGCATGCTGTGTGGCCAGAAACTGTGCTTTGTCTTCGCCATTCTCATCATGCGGTAAGGCACCGTTACAAACAAAAGGGAAAATTTTTCAAAAAGAAAAAGAAGAAGAGGACTGAGGACTCTCTCTCTCTCTCTCTCTCTCTCTCTCTCTCTCTCTCTCTCTCTCTCTCTCTCTCTCTCT